TCTCTCCATGCATACTGGACAATTAAAATTGTAGACAATGGATGGAATTATAGTGATATTGGTGGGTGGTACTATTGCAGTGATGTTATTTTTATAGACAAAAGACTATACAAACGGTTGTACTATTTGTGACTATTGCACATTAGCTTGTTATACCACTGCACTGTTTAGGTGCTCAGTGGTTGCTGTAATAGTTGCTCTCTGAAATTATACAATAAATAAAGAGGCAGTTCTGTGGTAGTTTAAAAACTTGTGTTTGTGTTTATTCATATATGTACCCATCTTTCTATTTATCTATCTGCCCCTCATTTCCTGTTTTTGCCTCATTTCTACCCATTTCCAAAGCTGGGTTCAACATAAAATGTGATGAAACGTGAAATGCCATTTAAAAGAACATTATTATAAATCAAAATAATGTCACTCTTAATCTTGATATCAGGATTACACATCCACAGGATGAGGTAAGTTATTTGTTGGTCTTCTATTTATATTCAGGTCCAGAACCCAATTGCTTCTTGTTTTATCTAAAATGTCTTTAATGACGTCTTACAGTTGAAAAACGTGTCTGCGAGTGGGTCTCCTGAGTTGATTGACTATGGCTCCACATAGTGCAGACTTACGTAAGATTAAAAAATCTGGCTTAATCTAATTAAATATTTCACAGAAAAAAAGAACTATCCAATAAAATTCTGATTTTATGAAGGTGGAAGGTTTGGAAGTAGAGCAGTTGCCACAAATAAAATATACCCTTTTTTTTCGTGCGTGATAGAGTTGCAGATTAAGATAGGAGGACTGTATGACACATGGCTAATGTTGACATTTTTATACTTACACTTGAGGACTTTCAAGTGATAACATATTGTTCCCCATTCAAAACCCACGCAATAAACACTGAAAGTAACATTAAGTGGAATTTATAAGAGCATGTATATATCGAAAGCTGTTTGTAAGGTGAACATGGTATTTTCGTCATATCAAACTGCTTTAGAAACAGGTTAGTCTAGCCATAATGATGGTGTTTACTTACAATAATAAAAAATAATAATGAAATTATTGTGAAGTAACACTGAGATTGTAAGCATCAATTTTTACAGTCAGCCTGCATGGTTCAGGATGAAATGTTTCAATACAATGTCATGGTTGAATTAGGGTGATATAAATGTAATGAACCACTGTATTTGGATACATTTCTATTGCAGACTAAAACAGGACAGAGACAATCTATGATAATAAAATTATAATAAATAAATGAAGAAAAAGTAATGCCTAAATACTGATAAGATATGACATAATCATACAAATGTAAATTGTATTCCATCAGGAATGTTATCAGTGGTAAGTAATCTTCAAAATAAAACAAAAAGCAATTCATTTGTATAAAATTACTAGTAAACCTAAACAACTTCTGTATATATAAATTACAAAATATATGAGGGAAAAGTACTGAAGTGAAGTTTTAAGTTAAAGCTTACAAAAAGTAAATATATCTGTGCAAGTGTTAAATTTCAAAACAGATTCCAAAATGGAAAACCTTATAACTGAACAGTACCAAAGTAAAACCTTTAAAATATTCTTAAAAGAATGACCTTTGAATAAAGGAAATGTAAAATATATTAAGTACAGATCCCAGCACTATGAAATCTACTAGTGTACAACAGTATTGAAATTAAAATGAAAGGTTAGAAACAATGTTTTTTTTTTTTTTTCACAAAATTCAAAGTGATTATTCTTTCAGTAAATACATTTACATCGACTACCACCATGGAGGCACTTCAGAGTTTTCACACAGACCGTTCCACCAGAGCCACAGCTGTAATAATGCTTTGGTCAACATTCTCCAAAGAATACTACCTCTATTAATCTTTGGTATAACCATTACACTGACAGGAGAGACAGAATTTGATTAATGCATTAATAGGGAAACCCACTACATGTAAATGTACTCTAGAGAATACCACTTTGGTGTCATATTTTGACATTTTGAGAGCAATTAAATTAACAAGTTTCATACCAAACCTTTTATCTATTTCATTCCCTTTTTCCCTTATCTACCAATTGACCCGAGTTGGCTTGGCCTGCAATGTCATATCTATATTGAACTGTTAAGAGGGTGATATCCATCAGTCCTGCCCAGATAAGCTATTTCAGTTCTCTTCTTCAAATATTCATTGCAAATGTCATGAAGTATGCTTACACCTGCTATAGCCTTCATGATTCAACCTTTTCTCTACAACCTTTGAAGTTACATATACAACATACAAAAATAACAGTTAAAATGCTGCAAGTCATAACTCTACAGTTTTGAATAACAGCTAGGTGATAAATGTAAATGAAAAACATGCTGGGTAAACCCCTTTCATTTAAAGTCATGATACAATGTGCAATTTCAGTTCTACATTATCTGCAACAATAACCAGGTCCCCCTAATTAACCCTTATCCATATTAAAAATAAATGGAATGTATTCAGTCATCTTTAGTTGTCACAATAATGAGTCTAAAAGGAATAATTCTAAAGAAATCAAATTAAGATTGTTCAAAGCAAGGAAATATAATTGAAAGAGTAATTTTGTTTCATTAAGTGCAATGTAAATCATCAGTGAATGAGATCATTTGAAGAGAAATAATAACCAAGGGTAAGGCAAGAGGATACAGCATAAAGAAATATGATCAAATCAAGTTTTTAAGAAAAAAATTTGATTTCCAAATTGTATTCTGCTACTGATTAAAGGTACAGCAAAATTAGACACTGGTGTAATTCTAGTTCGTTTTTCCCCATTTCTGTAGGCAGAAAATTTAAATAACTCCATTTTGTTGACAATAGTCAGAAGCCCAGATCTGCTGAATTCTGAATGCTAGATTTTAGTTTTTTTCTTAATCATAGCTATGAGACTCAAAACATTTCCGTCAGCTTTGATATCTGTCTGGTGGCTCCATGTGGAAATCCTTAGTGCTTGTATAGTAATGATATGTGTATTTTATCTTCATGTAGGCATAGTAAATATTGCCTTTGATAGCCGAACATGTGGAAGATCTCTCTGTGAGACTGCAGTAAAGTGTGGTGAGAAGTACCACAAGCATAATACTTAATACTCCTAAGAATATCCATAACAGAGTCATAGAGATCCACTCCTCTGAAACAGAAAGTAAAACTGACAATTACAGTTGTCAATATTTTTGCATGGATAAATTCTGGGACAATTCTGGGGCAACTGGTACCATGGGGAAATTCTAGCAACAATCAATTAATCTTGAGTTTAATCATCTTAATTTTGTATATATCAAACAGTAAATGTAAATGCATAAAATTGTGAAAGTTAATAACTAACTAACTAAATAAATAAATAAAATAATCAAATTACCATCTTCCTTGTCTCTTCTTCTCATTTCCTCAAAACTAACTTCTTTTTTGAGTTTTTCTGCCAGATCGGAATCTGTTAAGACACAGTAGTTGTTATTTTGTTCATACCAAATATTTACCCTTGCATCTTAGTCTCTTGTAAAACAGAAGAACAGAGACACTGTTTGGCAGTGATATACTTTTATAAAATCTATCAAATCAGTTTATAAAACACCAGATTATAAAGAAATTAAGTCAATGTAAGAAAATATTGGTCACGTGGTAAAAACAATTGTAAAAACGTACCAGTAGTGAATTTCCTTCGTCTCAATATTGAAGCTGGCTCTGAAATAGGAGTGGAATGTGCATCTCCGCCCTCACCTGGTGACACTGCCCTGTCAGTGTGCTTCTGCAGAGATTCTGGGTGAAACATAAATGAGTTCATTAGGATAGGAGGCTTGATGTAACAATTATGTAGTTTGGATATCTATATTCAGGGGCGTATTCAGAGATATTTTCTGATGGTCTTCCAAAGTTACTTTTCCTCCATTTTTGACTGTCTTCCGACAGAAAAAATCAATACCTGTCAATGTAAACTTGAAAATCTAACTGTCTTCTGGAAGACCCAGAAGATGGCCTAAATCCGCCCCTGATATTTGAATATTTGTCACTTGTTATCAAACTTTCAGATACAAATAATCAGACTTTTTGGACTAAATCATGTTTCTGTAAACATGCTTGGTAAATTTAATTCAAATAATCAGTTCAGTGAATTACTGTTATCCACCCCCAAAAAACTTACCTTTATACTGCTGTTTTCCAACCTCTGCATAGACAACAGTGAAGAAATCTAAACTTTTCACAGTGATAGGATGCTGCTCTCCAAATACCTGCTGCCTCAGCTTGGTTGCCTACGGGAAACGGTGAACAACAAACGTAACTTATCAAATTATTTATAATGCCATGAAGCAGATAATGAAACTTGTTAAAGAGTTCTAAACACCATACTAAGTATTTGTATTTTTTTCCTTTGGGAACTATCTACATTAAGAATTGAAATTCTTAGCTTTCTATTTTAATCTTCAGTATATAAACTCTCTTCATTTGACATTCACCAGGATTTGATTTTACACATATTACATATTCATTAATGAGTCTAATTTTCTTAATCTTTCTTGAAACAGAACATGATATTGTGGGCATTTCTAGAGTAATCTTATATGTTTTACCTTGGCAATGTAATCCAAAGCTAGCCTTGGCCTGCAAAATGACAAGACTGCTCAAAAAAGGATTCAAACAACAGTTTGCTTGACATCTTTAAAATCTTTTTTCAACATCATATTTAATTCAAAACAGAAATTGTAAATCATTATCTCTTATTAAAAATTCCCTTGTTAAGTAAGAAACACGGTAACCAGCCCATACGTACTGATCTCTCTCCAGACACAGTTTTGACAACTCTTCATATTCTGTGGCTCTCAAAGCATCAAGGCTTTCTTCTCCAGTAACAGGCGGTGAGGTATCTCCCGACTCTTTCTCCTTCTTTCTGTCCTCTAAACACAGAAAGACAGTAGATAAAGTATGTTAAAGGTACATATAAACCGAGCATCGGCAGAGTGTGGATTCCCAGTAACACATACATGTATAAACCACTTCTAATAGTTTCTTATACAAATCAAATATAGGCAATATCATCGTCGACATGCCAAGGGATAACCTGAATAAATCATTTGATCAGCCATAAAAGAGCTTTAGACTGCTCCTTTCTTTAAATTTTTGGTTAGAAATTTTACCAACTTATGTGACCTTCTTTTCTGCCCCATGTATACACAGCATAGAAAGCTAGCAAGAAAATCCGTTCAAATATCATTTTTGGGTAATATTGATCGATGACTTTTGGTAATTCCCTTATTTATACTATTTGAACCTATGTGCTTGTTGGTTTTTGTGGCAAAAAATTGACTTCATATGCATCTTTAAGAGAGACATTTCAATATGCCATTACACAACACATGCCCTACTGCGCCAAACACAATGGGCTTGTCACCACAAGCTGAATGTACCTTTGTATAAAGGTGCATTGGTACCTGCTGTCCTTAGTATTTGAATGCCAACTGCCACTGAACCAACATCTTAACTTATGTTTGTACCAATAAACCCCTGGATTAAAGAAGCCTCTTACCAATAAACAAATGAACTATCTGGAAGTATCCATAACAACACAAACTTGCAGTTTCAAAATAATCAATTTTTTTAAAAACCATTGACCTAATAACTAACTTTTTAACAGCATTCTAATGTGTTGCAAATGAAACTTAAAGCATTTCTAAGACTGATATTTTTTCTTAGTACTTACAAAAAATCTTGGTGACTACAAAAACAACAGAGCAATGTGATTTTGCTATGTACACTTACCAACCCTCTTCTCCAGCCCCATGGTGTCAATTAAGGCACTCTCATAATACATTTTCTCAGCTTGTATAAACTGAATAGCTTTTTCATCTGCTTAGAGTTGAGGAAGGATAACAGTAAACAGAATTTTTTTTTATTTACAACAAACATCCATATGGGAATTTTCAAACTGTTAAAGGTCTTCATACTACAAATGGCTTTCTGCTATTTACATTAATAAGGATACATTCTTCTTTTTTAAAATAAACATCAGCCACCTAAAATGAGGAAAAAATAATGCATAAGTGAGGTCCTTGAATAGAAAGTTCAACTAACAAATTTTCATAGTAAATACTAGTATAAATGGTATGTAAATCAACAATATCTTCAAGCAATGCTGGCGATGTTAGTACATGTTTAACTATTCTGATAAGAAATCAGTGCTCTACCAAGACCTGTCACTCTGGCGGCCCCATGACCAGTTTAAAGCTCTGTTTTACCATGAAATTATATACCATTACTGACTTACACTATGGAGACACTGTGGTAAGTATGTGAACCCGCTCCCCTCCTCCAGGCCAGTCAAACAGCCTAGGTAACACTTCAAAGCCAGCTGTGCTTTACCATTGTCTTCATACTGCCTGCCCCTCTCAAATAAACGGTTTCTTCCTGGACCATCAAGATCTGCCAGGTTACCCAAGTTTAAGACTTCTGGAAATCAATTTGCATCCTTAACAGTATATTCAATGACTAGAAACTGGTACTAGTCAGATTTTGAAGAGTATACCAACTATAGAGCATTAGTAAAAAGGCCTTGATTGTTTTTGTTTCCTGTTCAGAGTTGCATGGTTTTATCACAACTACAAATATATCTGACATTTTGAATTTAATTCAAAGAAAATCAATTGAAAATGAGTGAAATGATAATTGCAATCTTTATTTCATTACAATGATGATGAAATACTTTATAATACTTCTAATCAACTCCAATTTATACCTGCATCTCCGATCTCTTCAACAGATTCTGCTGCCTTTGACAATTCTGTAGATGCTTCATGGCCTTCTACTTCTCTGGCTCCTTCACCTTCTGTATTTGCTGCTGCAGCTCCACCTTCTGTAGGAGTTTCTAAATCAGAAAACATAGTCAGATGCTAATGGAAGACACTGTTATTATTTTCAGTTTTTGTTTATCTTTATCAAAAAAATTTCCATAATAAAACATCAGATGTTTAATGCTGCTAAACTTACCTTTCTCAGTGCTGTCAGAAATCTGTTTCTTTGGGGTGTTTTTCTTCTTCTTTTTCTTCTGAGGTGAAGTTTTCAATTTTTCAGGGCTCCCTTTCAGCATTTTCTCAGGCTGCACTGCTTTCTGACTCATGCTGGCATCATCTTGTTCCACTTGCATCTCCTGCAGGGACTGGTTTTCTTTATCCCCAGACTCTGCCATCACAGCACTGCCACCACTCTTGATATCAACACGGACACTTTACCTCAACCACTAAGAAAGAAGAGGTTTATACATGTAGAGTATTATGCACTGCCCTAGTCCCAGTAAATTTTTTCTAGCATGCAAAACTCAATGACAGAAAATACTAGCACAGCATATTTTAATTACCTGTAAAAGCACTGTTGTTAGAGACTGAAAATTTTAAATATAAATTTAAGTTCTAGTACTACATATTGCAGTACCGACCTAGACAGAGGACTGTGGCTCTAGATATTCACAATTATAAATAAATGAACATGTGAAATCAACACAACTAGGTACACGTATATCACAATGTGCCAGTGGCCGGGGCCGTAGCGATAGTCCGAAGGTTCAATAGTCCGAAGGTTCATTGGTCCGAATGTTCACTATAGAACCTTCGGACCAATGAACCCTTGATTAAAAAATCGATAAAAATGTTACCACTTTTCGGACCAATGAACCTTCGGACTATCGAGACGCCCCCCCCCCCCAGTGGCCACTGTCCAGCTGCAGTGCTGGCAAAGCTGTGACTGGCCTGCTCACAGGTCGCATAATATTTATGACATCCCTTTCAAATCTCTCTTTTAGCGCTGTGCAATTTATACCATTTAAAAGTTTAGAAAACGTGCAATCTAATGAAAAAAAAAACGTGAAAATTGAACGATGCTAAGTATAGTTAATTTGATTAGCTGGACACAGGTTTTTGGCTGAAAAGTGAGGACACTTTGGGTGTAATATGTATAATATATATTTTCCTGATCAGTTTGATTTTTTTCTGATATACTCAACACAACAGAATGCATAAAAAGTTACTACATGTATATACCAGTAAATAGACAAACTAAGTTGTGCTATAATGCTACTAATCATTCCACAAGTTGAACCATATCGCTTTCCTGCCAACAACCCAGCATAACTTCGCATAATGCCCATAATGCAAACAGCATCTATTATGTAAAATATGCAAAAATCACTGATTGTTTACCTTGGCAGCAATGTTTAGACTTTCAACACAACCGCCATTTGCAAACCACTTCCGATGCACGAAATGCCAGGTGGCAGCACTTCGTATCAACTCCGCATAACTATGTCCTAAACGATCATAATCTTCATAATTACCCATCATAATCGCTCTTGGTGTGTATGGGTATGTAACATGAGGAGATTTGATACACCTCAACTGCGAAAATGTAGATTTATTGCAAATGTAGCTTTTTTTTTAAAGAGTGGACTACCCCACAGACTCACCCAAAATGTGTTCTAGGGGTTTCTTGTCACTGTACATAGTATCAGTTTGGAATAAATATCAGTAAATAATAAAAAATGATTAGAAAGTTTTTTTCAAAATTAGGAATGGGTGTCTTTCCAGTCTGTAAAAGAGCACATAAGAAAACAGATATTGCCCAGTATGATGTATTTACTTTAAACAAAGTCGAAACAAAGCAAAAAAAAAAAACTAGAGGATCAGAGAGGCGATACCGCCTCCGAATATTGTACCACCAGCTGGAGCAAGCGCATTCGTATAGACCCCCACATACACAAAATAAGGGGTGCAGCCACCAGTCTTGTGCTTGACAAGCTGTAAAAATGCAATCAACAAGAATTTTCAAAATATGCAAAAAATATATATAACTAAAAATGGTAGCAATCAAATTTAAGTTCATTGTAAGGTAGGNTTCCCTCACCTCTGAACTATTCCATATAGGCTTTTTCAAAATATCTTCCAAATTATCTGAACTTGAGATATCTCTTTTAAACTCCGCGAGATAAAGAACGATTTCTTTCCAAAAATAATTGGTCATGTTTTCCGCGCACCTAACCAAGTATAAGTCTCCCCGATCAATAAGTCGATTTATATTAATATTTTGTGTATCTATCATAAGTCTAACCCAATCTGTGTCATTTTTTGTCATAAGTTTCCATATCCAAGTTAATTAAATGATATTTGCAGAAGTGCATTGATGTGATGGATACTTTTTTTTTCATTTTTGTGAAAGATTGTTCTGTTATAATACAAAAAATTTACATCAACTACTGGTCTTTAAAGAAAATGCAACTTCCATACATAATGCATGGTATCTTTAGCTGCAAAGTTACATCCCAGTTGCCACACTTTTGCATGATTCTTTCACGATCTTGTAGAATATGTATTATAAATTTAAATTTCACATTTATTAAGACACCAGTCAAAAACAAAACTTTCCCATACCTCCAGTATATGTAATTTTATTTACATTGTTTTAATCATTATCTTTGTTACAATTTTAATGACTATATTCAGTCATAAGTAAAGTAGAAGAGTTAAGCCAAAGACTGGCTACGACTACAAGCAACACCAGACCTTTCATTTTATTCAAATCATTTGTCACCAACTGTGTTTTTTATTTGCAGACCAAACAAATCTTGCACAATTGGTAAAGATTAATTAGTTTAAATATTGAAATTAATGTAACATTTTTTAAATTTATTTAAATGCAACTTTTCTTATTCCTCTGATCATTTACATAAATCAAGACTGTCATACACATTAAAAGTTACTCCTTGAACCAAATTCTCACAGCCTGCAAGACAATTTAGTTAAAAAGATCAAAGAGGTATCTATAAAATAGACACATTTAACTAAACTAATTTTAATCAATAAAAGTGAACATCTGAATGTTAAATCTGCCTTAATGTACATGTTTAAAAGATGAAACAGTTTTTCAAATAGTAACTATATGAATAGTACTAGACAAATCCAATAAAAGTGATTTTGTTAAAGATTTCAAATTGCAAGTTCACCTTTACAGCCAATAAACATGCAAACAAATTAGAATCCCAACAGACTCACAACTTTCATTAAAACCTTGCATCTTTTTTGAAATAACGTTGGCATATGTTTATTAACAGAGATTCAACAATGACAAGTCAACATTGAAAAATTTATGGTACATGATTTTATGCTGAATACAGGTTGTGTTAAAATTACATTCATTTAGCATTGAGCTTTGGACCTTCTAAATTCTCTTCATTGAATGAATGAAGGTTCTGAATTCAAGGAGTAAAAAACATAACTGTGCCATTGATTCATTTGCTTTCAAAGAGGGACTATATATTTCAGGGCAAGAAATTTCAAAGTTGATTCCAGTTTTGAAAACCAAACACAAATTAGATGTTGATTCAACATTTACTCAACCATTGCATCCATGCTTGGTGTCTACAGATCCTTATATTCAGTTCTAAAGAACAAAGGGACATCACCTGTATATGATAAATTGTATCTACCATAATAAGATAAGTCCATAAACTTTTGATAATAAATAAAAATCAGTGGAAGAAAGTACAGCTTGTTACAATGAAATAACCCATTTCACTAAGGAAGACCAATTCTGATAGATTTTTTCAAATCATATATATGTATATATATATGAGGACAGCATGACAATGATTTTCAGTAAGGTAGCTACAGTGAGCACATCAGATAAAACTGGCAAAATCATTCATCACTTTTTGTTTCTCTTTCATCATCAACATTAGCACCAAGGCCCTGCCTCCGCTGACGTAGATGTGCTGTAATGGGTGTCTGCATTCCACTTCCTGTGGGACCCAATCCTGTCCCTGGGACCCACCCCATGGTCTGTAACATCTTGTTGCCTATGTTGTCCTCTGGGATTGGACTGGCATCACCTCCAACTAAATCTAAAATGAAAAGTATAAGATTTTTCATTTGATTATCTCGAGATGTGAAGCCAATAGGAACATTTAATATATAAAATATATTATATAAAATATCTATTTAATTTAGTTTTAAAGGCCTGGGAACAATTCTGACAGACTGTTTAGATCATCATGCCAAAGTGATGAGTCACAGCAAATATTACCCTATGTGCAAATGACCAAAAGCATAAAATATCAACAACTCAATAAAACCAGGACATCTGCTTGTCAGTGATTCTGCGTCTGTTAACAGTTATGATTAACCCACAAATAAAAAATCCAATTTAATTAGAATACAAATTATTCAAATCATCCTATTAATACAAACAAGGTGATCACTGTCCCCTGTACATCCCCAACCAGGTCCTTTGGACTTTTCTGACTTTATGACAAACCTTCATCAACAGGACTTGTTGGGGGAGTTTTCCTCCTCCTTTTAACGTCCCCAGACTGGTTTGGAGATGCTAACTGCCAGAGCCCGGATGGATCAGATTTCTTCTGGTGTCTGTCTTGGAAGAACTTGTATGCAGTGTATCCTGGCCTCTGAATGTTTATCAAATGTTTAATTCATTGGTTTGTTACATGATCAAGGAACACAACAAAACTATTTCCCTGGCTACTTCTAAGCATAATTGAATCCTTATGTTCATATAGATTAAGGAGAAAGATATAAGGATGCACAATATAACTTCCTTCTTGAATTACTGACAAAAAATATTGATTGTGGATCATTTACTTACCCTGTCTTTTAATCTCCTTCTTCCTAGTCTTATTTCTCTGCCATGCTGGAATAAAGAAGTGAGGTCTCTGACCAGTTTTCACTATAATGTTTGTAAAATAATCACAATCAAACACAAGTCAAAATATAAGCGCCAGTAATCTGTCAGTTGATAAGTTCATGATATTAGACAATTTATACTTTTTAATATCAAATAAGCATTACATGTCAAACTGACAACAAGAATTGTTATCAAGCAGTGCACAATTTGAAAAATCTACCTTTATTCAAATCTTTCAAAACAAATATTCTCATCAAAGTAATTAAAACTTACCAAACCAGCCACCTTCTTTAAGCGAGCCTGGAAACCTCTCCTGGATTCCACAGACATATGGTCCAAACTCCCATTGAGGATTTCCTTGAATTTTTTGTCTTGTGAATCCTCTTCTATCTTCTGTTTTTCCCACCATGGAATAATACCAGGGATCCCACACACAGGGCCAGTCTCATGGAAGAAATCACTTTGTTCATCATCACCTAGAAAAAATATATAAAATACAAATGCCTCACTATGGTGAAGACAATGGTGGAGCAGCTGTCTATTTTTATTTATAAAAAACATAATGACATGCTAAACCATTTTATAAATCTAAATCGAAAAAAGACAAACAGAACTTCTTGGAAACTAGGGCAACTGTGAGGGAGTCCAAAATTAACCTATTTCGGGTCTGTAAAAACTCTTTGATGTAATAATTAAGAAAACAAACACCTTACCATCTTGTCCTTCTTCATCATAAGTTTCTGGTTCACTGCTGCTCAGAGAACTACTGGTGCTGTCCCTAAAATAAATACGTCATATAAGAAATTTTATATCACATAATACCAAGTTTTTTTGCATTATTGTAGATTTTATTTATCAGATATCAATAGAAATTTGGTCAAGGTATTCTCTTAAGAGATAAAATATTTTAGATAATTAAGAGTTTAACTGGAACCAATTTAGAAGCACAGGGGGTTATTGATGCGATCATCATGTTTAATGACTGAACAAAAAAATCAAACGCTTACTGCCATTTCTCAGTTTCCATTTTATCTCCGCCATCTAAGACATTCTCTTTACTGGCCATCTCTTTAAAACTTCTTTTCTTTGATGCCATCCCACCCTCTTTATCACTATCCATGCTCTTGTCTTTCAGAGATCCTTTTCCTTTCATTCTCTTTTTTCGTGGTTTGTATTCCTGCATAGCAATATCTGAACCAGGGTCTGGATCAACTGCCATTTTGAATTTTCTTCTTCGTCTACTCTGAGCCCTCAGTGGTGATACAGTTTCTGTTACAGAGTCTGATTCTGCTAATGAGATGGCATGTTGGGGTAAAGCCAATGAAGAGAAACGCCTTGCTATGGCCAGATCATCTGAGTCACTTTGCTGAGCAGCGTTCTCCATGTAATCCTTCAAAGCACCATCTAAACTGGATTCAGAAGCCTCAGTCATGTTTCCAAACTCCACATGAAAGTTTTGGCTTGTCCTTCGTTTTTTATTCTTGCGTTTCTTGCAAGCTCTTGTCCTGACATAGCCCATAGACATACCATCGTCACTTTTGGCTCTCCTCTCATTCTGCTTGGAACTCTCCTCTAAAGCATTGGTCAGATCTTGGACCAGTTCATCCATCTTGTAAATGTCATATGTGGAGAACACTTGCAAGTTTTCCAGGTCTTTCACAATACTGTTGTCCATTAGAACCTTTCTAAGGCTCTGAAGAACTGAAGAGCAAGACAGCAAACTTGTCAAATGAACAGACCAATATCAGTAAAAAAAACTTTGAAAGGCTTTGGAGAAAAAAAAATTGAAAAATTGTTTCAGAGCATTTCTGATGTTTTAAAAATAATCACAAATGATAATTAAATTACTACCTTTTTATAAGTGCTGGTAATCACCATCAGGGTACTGCTTAAAAGAGAGAAAAAAGATGCAATGCATAAATGACCGAACAATCCTAACATAAAAATTAATGCTTTATTACAAAGTAAACCCAAACCAACCTTTTCAAATTTCAATTGTCACTGTATTCAGTCATAAATAAAATAACAAATGAAATGTTTCATACTACATAAGACTACTAAATAAAAATAATAATAATATTAAATAATGATAATCATTATTACATTGAAACTAAATTATATATACATGTTCTTGTTTACGGTTAAATATACAAAATAAGAATCTGATACATCAGCTGTACATAAGGCGGTATTAGTTAATAATATTAGATAAAGGGCCAGTCCAATGAGTGGTGGCTTGGCAATAAAATCAAGCGTCTGCTTCGCTCAGCCTTCATGCTAATTAATATACCTATATCAACAGTTTTCCTTCAACTTGAAACAAAAAGTTAATTAAATGTGATCACAAAAGTACATCAAAACAATTGTCATGAGAGAAGCAGGAGTTTAAACAACCACTAAATCACTACCGTTGCGATATAAGCGTAAAATGAAACTTCGGTGCTTTGAATTTTGTACATGCTCGCCAGTCGCCGTGCGATACAGTACAGTAGCTTGTACAAGTTGTAGCATGTCCAATCTGACGTCCATGTTCATTACGTGATTAAAAACGATCGTAAGAAAACACGCATTTTGTAGAATCATAAATGCGTTGGTTCTCATCTTTCAACTTTACACACAGTCTAGAATCGATTTATACTTACCTTATCAAGTTGAAAATGGACTTTAAATGTGACATTTCGAGAAAGCTGCAAGAGCACTCGCCATGTTTGTTGTTATCTCGAATGTTCTCGCGAGAATGCACATGTATAAAGTGCTCCACTTCCCGGTGCGTCACAACAAACAGAACAAGCAATGGATAGGTTTGGACGTTCTCAAGTGACCAGGTAAGATAATATTATGAACTATGACAATTTTGAGACAAAGTCAGATTTGAAAAAAATCATATCGACTTAGCACAAATGTACTGTGGTCAGCCCTTGTTATATTTAATCAAATTTACAAACTATAAAGTGCAATGATCATACTTGGTAACCAAGGACGCACAGGTGCTATATACAGGTGAGATAGAGAAAAATAAACTACAGGGTCATTCTTCACAAATTTCGATTGGTACCATTCAGAGTTTCTGAATATGGAAGACATAAATAATTGTTACTTATACTGTAATCATATATGGTTTCAGGGTCCCTGCGTACTCCAGGAATCACCCAATTATTCCCCGGTTGTATGTACCAGAATGGAAGACAGATATGAAAAACAGAAAACTCATCATCCAGGTACTTTTCTTACATTTTAAGAAAATAATATTAACCTTTTTTTGTGAGAGAAGAGAGAGAGAATTTTATTTCTTAGATGTTATATTGAAGTCATTTGACAACATTTGTGTGTACTGTGTGTGATAAAGATAATGCCGGTTTCTCCACCCCACCAACTTCTAAACTTTGAAAGGCAATTTCTTAAATAAATACAATGTTTTTTAATACCTTAGAATGCTGAGCTTGGGGGAGTACCACACCATGAACATGATGAGAATCTGTACCTAGAGAAGAGGGAACAAATGTCATATAATGTAGAGCCTAGACACAGAATTAATCAAAGGTATCAACTTCCTTCGCGAGCTCAACTATTACGACCAGATTTCCACCACGAGACTTCTCGATACCAAAGTGAACTGATGATGAGAAGGGATGCCCCACCAACTAAGCTCGATGTTGATTACAACTGAACTTGTTGCATTCCTCATGACATTTCTGATTAATCAGATGATTGGTTTTACTCCCAGACAGTATCAGTGGGATGCCTAAACACTCCTTTGCTTTGGAAACGATAAAACATTTTGACAATCGTTTGGAAATTTATCAGCAGTGGAAGCAAAGCATTTCACTTTAACACCAGCAGAAAAACTTTACTATGTGGCAGAGAGGATTCTGCACATATATTAATCAATATTTGCTCCTGTGTTTACAAGTATTTGTTATTGATGCTGTTAAGTAAACAAACCAAATGTTCAATCATAAAATCAATAATCTGTTTGAAGAAATATAATTTATTTCAAGTTAAAGTACCAAACATGTGATGGAAGTGTAATATATAGATATAAATGTATGTACAATATATTTTTGAACAAGGCAAATATTTGCTGATAAAAATCATCATATAAGGATTCATTTGACAGGCAAATATATTTCAATTTTAAATCATGGATATTTTACAAGCAAGGCCATCAAGGTTTATCCTGAACAAATGTCACATTAATAAACTCTTCATTCCATCATTTACTAGTTGTATTGTACTGACTGACTTGGTATGATATATATAGAAGACAAACAAACTATATAAATTACACAGGCACAACAATTACTTTTATAATGGTAGACATGTTCTACTATACAAACAGTTTCATAAATTGTACTTTACGCCTCAAATGTAAAATTATTTCACACAAACTTCTAAATGTAATTTGAGAAAACAAAATCTGAACTATGGTATTTTACTGGGCTATATAATAATAAAAGCTCGTGCTCCATGAAAACATCCACACCAATAACTTATATTTAATTTGATCGGTAAAATATACAAGATACAAAGTGGCAAAAGGCATATACGTATTTTTCATTTCTGCATCAAATCGATATCAATCTGACATTCGTTCTTTCAGCAAAGACCAAATGCACAAAATCAGTCAAAGTTGTCAGTTTTTCTTGAAACACGTTGGTCCAAGAACTTGTCCAATGCATCTACTGCACGAGACAGATAACCTATCCCCAGTTTTTGGTTTCCTATAATTTGGGACACTTCTTCTTGTCTGAAAATAAAACGTAGCTTTCATTATAACCAACCAAACATCATATTGAGGTTAGAAACTAGTGCAAGCTAGCCATTATACACATGTAGATATACTCTTTCAAAAAGCCAATTGAAAATAAAAGTCATTTTATCATAAAATGGTGTATTACAAATCTATAGCAATGAATAAAAAGATTTGAATCTTTTTTTATTTCTTGACACTTTGTTAATGTTTTGAGCCCATACAAATGATTCTAATAAGTAAAAATTTAAAATTGCATCTCTTGTCTGACCTCTGTTGTAGGAAAAAGTTCCAGGAAAGACAAAACATACCTTATATCCCCTATGCAGTGTTTAAAGTTCCATTCCACTGGCGTATAGGGATACTCCCCAGGTTTCAGATGGAATGTCAGCACAAACTTACAAAAGGCATCAAGGTGTGAGAACTCAATAGTTACACTGTAAAAAGGAAGATGAGCATCCATTATCATTTTATTAATGAGCATATATGCTTAAAACCATTTTCAAGTAGAAAAAATGTTAAGGGTATTGGTACAAAAATGGTTTAGTAAAACAGATTTTGGTTTTTCTCTTGTTGCCAAGTGTCAGCTTCAGTTTTCACCTTTTGTATTAATTCAAAAAATGCATGGCCTTTTTCTTGGAATTTTGTTTGAAAAAATGAAGGTCATATTTCTCTGTTCTGAGCCTTTAAGTACTTCTTAAAACTGATTTAGTTATAATGCTTCAAAACTAACAACTTTAAATATAAATAAATTACTTCTGAGAAGAGACATTCTGCCATTACCTTGTCTCTGCTACTTTAACTACGTGTGTCAGTTGTATCCTCTCTACTTCAGCTGACAAAATACGGGCTCCAGTTACCACCTCTGATACACTTCTCATCATCTAAAATAATAAACAACCATACACTGATACAGCACAAGACATGTCCCAGTAGTATAAGGCAATGTCCTATTGTACACATGAAATGACCATTAAAACAAGGAACTTAATGATGTCATAACTGCAAAGTTCCCATCCTTTAACATAAGCTTCACAAATAAGTTGATCAGGGCACTCACGCACACAGAAACCCCTGCACTATGATTGCATTTATATTAAAAGAAAAAAAAAACAACTCAATCTTTGTGCGCATTACATCAATTGATCCACAGTACTGGCATGCAGTCTGCATGTGTACTGTACATACAGCAAATACTTAAATACCACAACTTTGACGAGAAATTCACCAGATTTCCAAAGGACCATTTTGTCAACATGCTAAAGCAGGTATCAAATTGTGTTAAGGCTGCATATTTTACCTGTGGCAAATGCTCTGTAGTAGGGAACGTCTTAATCAACTCCTCATCCCTGATAGTCCTCAGGATCATTGCATGGGCCAGATGTGCATAGCAGGCTACATCATCTAAAGCAGAGGGCATGTGATTATAAGAAAAGAATGTTTTATTTTAAACATTATTAAACAAAATTGATTTAAGTCACTGACACTTTTTTTAAAGACAACTCAAAATTGCAGTTTCGTAGAAAATTATGACCTTCCCCATAATAGGAGTCCACAATCTAAGAAATTTTCTGCCTAAAAACTAGCAAACACACCTCCCAACTTTGAAGTAAACTGGACATCTGCAATGTTCCTGTGCTCAGTGCTGCCCCCTGTGACTGGGTCACATGTCTTTGTTCCATAATTTACAGTCATCAGCAAAGAGTCGTATAACCAAGAAAACTTGGCTCTGTAGTCATCAATGTCTTCAATGATCCATTCATTTAGCCTGTGGAAAAAACATTGAAAAACATACAACAATACTTATATACAAAACAGATACCATCAGTATTAATATTCACAAAAAAATATCTGTAAAGTGATAGGTACATACATAATTACCAAAAGTATCTAACAAGAAAAACATACTATGACACCATACAGAAACTGAATGCTCTGAAAATAAGAGTATGATCTTCTAAAATATAAAATTGTCTCTGTATTTTATTTTTATATATTTGTAAAATTGGCTTCACTTCTCAGTTTTAACAAGATCCTTAAAAAATAATTTTATATTTTGCATTTTTTTTTGTTAATCATTGACTTGAGCATGATTAAAAGAACCACCTCTGCATTCTGTCAAGGCATTGGGACTTGGCCAGCAAGTCTTCACTGGTTGAGCAAGGAACCATCATTTCCTTCTTCTCCAATCTAATTCTTCCAAGCTCTTTGTGCATGACATCATACTCCAACTCTAGTGCATCCTTTTTCCTGGCAAAAGTGATATAAACATTGCTAATTATCAACTTAAAGACAAAATAAAGTTAAAAACTGCAAAAGACATCCTTTTAAAGAATGTGTATATATATTTTCATTCTGAGCAATACATTTTTTTGTCCACTTACTCTTTGGGCACATTGAACTTGTGCAGATGCAGTGGCCATTAACTATATAAATTTTAAATATTTCATTGGTATTTGGTGTGGGGTCAGTTAATATAGAAGACTGTGAATAGTGTCACAAATACCAGATCATCAGAACTTACTTGGTGATCTCATTCACTTCCATTTGCTTTTCCTCCAAAACTAAAAAGAGAAATAGAACAAGCAGCACTTAATAGTTGTAACATGGAAATTACCATAAGCTTCTTCATTACTGTTTACAAGTTACACATTAACCATGATATTGTTGTTCTTATGACAGTGAATTGTAGATCTACTTTCCCCTACCTCATGCAATTTCATGAAAGTTGACACATGCTTACCTTGTTTTTCAACATTGAGATTTCCAACAATATCTACATACTGCTGAATATCTTGTTCGTCTGGTAATTGAAGATTTTCACTTGCTCTCAGCTGCTCCGTTATGTATGCATCAACTGGAATACAAAGTGTAACAAAGTTATTCAGGATTCATGTAGTTAATGACATGACACGGAAGTGAACTGCCATGAAATGTACATTTTCACCTTAGTGCAAGCGCTTCTGCAGACTAAGGCCATATTCAGAAGAGTGGACTAACTAGTCCGCAGGTCAAATATGGCAACCCACTAAAAACCTTGCCGTCTAATCCACTAACAGACACTGAATAGATTCCCCTTGGGGGTAGGGATGGCCATATTGGACACGCAGACTAGTTAGTCCACTCTTCTGAATGCAGCCAAAGTGAGTGGCTATTACAGCTCCTCTTATATCAAAATTCTAATAAAATATTCAAGATCAACAACTGGGTGTGTATTTGTAAACACTCAGGATGACAATTAAGAAAAAAAAAAAAAAAAACGTAAGGATAACAGCACTCTTTCACATTAACTGGGAGTTTGACATGTCAATCTTACAGAACATTACTGCTAAACCAACTGCAATTTAAACAGGCAATGTTACCTACTCCTTACCTTCATTTAGCTTTACCCGTTGCTCATCCAAAGAAGTGCAAGCTTCTTCAAGTTCTGACAAACAGCTCTGTATGCTATCTTCTTCTTCCTGTCACATAAAAAAATCTTGGAATAAGGGGTTTATGTTTAAAATTTCATCTTTGAAAAAATTAACATTTCAGCCAAAAAAAAAAAAAAAATGTAAATCATACTCTTGGTCAATACCTGATGGTAAAACTTACTTATAAGAGAGATGATCTGGAAAAAAAAAAAAACTGACCTGAAGAGCTTCAAGAATTGTCTTAACTGCTTTCCCTTTCCACTGCTTAAACTTGGCCTTGGAATTTTTGCGACAAGCCAAAACCAAAGCTCTGATCTTGGACTTCAGCTCCTTCATCTAAAATGACAATTTGAAATAATATCACATCTCAGTAATATCATCATATCTGTGACAATTATAAGACATTATGAATAAGTATGCTACAGGATCAGAGAGGCATAGCCAGCTCCATGGTATGGGCCACCAGCTAGATAAGCACAACATTTGGTTGATAGCTCAACAAACAGCAATTCTAGAAAAACCAGCAAATTGGTTATTTGTCAGAAATGGTTACTTTCCATATAAAAAAAATATGTGGGCAATGCAAGATAATTATGAAACAGTTACCTCAAGAAATAAATTAATGAAATTGCAAGCAGCTTCATACCACTAACTATTTTAACCATAATATAATAAATTTTCTAATTTCTGAGAAATGATGAAGCAAACACAAAAACAATAAACTGTTCATAAACTGTTTCAATTTAAGGCCTTTAACAGTTGTAACTTGTAAGACCAATGAACAAACACAACAGCATGAATTCAAGGGTTTTTGTACTTTATGAGCACCCAATTACTTCATGCCAAAACAACAAGACACAGGAGCAGGTACCATGCCCAGTGGTACATTTTATCTACCAATCATGGACTAGTTACAAAGCTCTGTAATCTTATCTTTCAAATTCAAAGATACAGAAGTATCATACAGTAAGTGAAGACTAATTACTTTCCTCTTACCTCTTCTTTTGATGCAACTCTCACTTCCTCGAATATTTCAGGATTGTTTTTATTTAATCTTTCTTCAACTTGAGCAACAGTACTTCTTAGCCTAAAAACAAACGGATATTTTCATACCTATGAAGAAATACATAGTTTGCTCATTGTACAATAATTTTCCTCATCTTTTGGGTATATTAGCAAAAATCTACTAATATCCATTCTGTTTGTTAACACAGACCATAGAATATCATCTCAATTATCTAATTTCCTTACCATGAAAACACTTACTTTTCTATATGCTGTGTCAACCAATTACATGCCCAATCCATGGTTTCTAATTCTGGCTGCACAATCATCCCCAGTTCCAGATACTCTTGCAGACTTTCAGGGGGTGCCATCTAAAACACAAAATACCCCAGCTGCAACTATTTACATGACGCCTGGTGTGAGTCTTTAAATTAACATAAGAAGACATGGACCGAAATAATACAGAAATATCACATCACAGTCACATGGCATTTATTACAATAAATCACCATTTATAAAGTTCCCAAGCAAGCAGGATGGACATGTCTATTTCCGCTGAACTAATGTGCTGTACTTATTAACAAGTATATGCAGACCAGAAATGAAGACTTACAGAGACTGGTGCCATGGTGCTCCTCCTGGTGCTTTTGGTACAAAATGTCACCCCACACATCATCATCAAATCCTCCACTGTGATCTTGCCATCCACAGATGACACTGCCATAGACTATAAAACAAAGACAGGTTCCAAATATCAAGTCATTATGATTATTATCATGTTGTGCTTGTTTCATGATAAGAGAAGGGTTCAGGTGTACCATTTGGGAAAAAAAATGAGATTGTGATAATAAGCTCCAGGCAAAATTCAAACTAGCCACTTTCAAAATACATCATCTGAATAAGGGGGTAAATCATATTTTTATGCTGCTTTTGTTCAAAAAGTTATCTTTGTCATCATCAGCAATAGTTAATACTACTGTTAATACTTCCAATCAAATGTTATCCACAGCAGATTGGGTGTATCTTCATGAAAAACATTAATTCTGTAATTCAATCAAAATCAAAATAATATAGTGCCAAATGCCATACACTTTGAACTAAACACCACATAGCAAACTGACAATGTTACCTGCTCTGCTTTCTCGTCAATAACTGACAGCATAGATGTCTTGGACAAAGTCATCTGAAGTTGTTCGGTGTCACTACCTGAAGAATAGCTGCTTTTGGAAAAGGAGTGAGCATTTTCTGACACTGTATTTTGCATTTCTTCAGTGTGGTCCATGTCAGGTATGGATTCTTCAAGGATGCCAAATTCTGAGGTTGAGGATGTGGGTGGCTTACTGGCTGGTTCACTGTATTCTAAAACAAAGATCTACCATCTTACATGTGAACATTACACAAAAAACTGAATTGCAAATGTATTACGGATGAAAGATTTAAAAATTAACAATTTTTTTTTTTACAGTGAATCATGCACATGTTATTAAAACCAATAATTTGGAGTTGGATCAATCTAGGTAGACCGATAGTTTCAATAGGAATGAGCCCTAAAGCAAGACTGAAAACACTTTTCCCATTGTATTATATGTTTGAGTAGCTGACTCACCTGTAAGTACGTCCCCCATTGTACACAGTTTCTGTATAGTATAGGTTCCTCCCTGGCCATCTGTGGGTGTGACAGACCTGCTCCTAGCTTCAATCTCCCCTTGCACTGAACATGTGCCCCTTGTAGAGCTGCCATCTGAGGAAAATTCCCTGGAAGACATTTCCCTCTGTGGATGAGAGGGTGAGGTATAAGACTGGCCTTCAAGTTGCTCTCTCTGGGATACATTACTTTTGTTTACATTGTCTCTGTGTGACATGGACTTCTCTGCAGGTTCCTTCTGTCCATCATCTTGTTCCAAGCCTTGGCTGCTCTTGTTCCCTACACAAGAGGTCAACTCCATGCAACCAGTCTGCTCTGCAAGTGGATTAAACTTTGTGTGGCTGTCAGCTTCCAAGCCTTCAGGTGCAGGACTGTCAACCTCCCCAATACATGTTGTAAAGTCCATGTTATTTGTTAATTGACAATTGCTGTTGATAACAATTGTTGCATCACTTTTGTTATCCATAGTGGTTGGCATCCTGTCAGCTTCTTCAGATGAAGAATTGCAATCTGGGCTTTGGCTTGTCTTGCAGGGAGGACTGTTAACTTCAATATTACCAACACAAGTTGTGAAGTCCATTCCTTTGGTTGTATGTTTTGTCGCGTCTGCCATGGAGTTTGTAGTTTTGAATGAAATGGAATCATCATCATCTTCATAATCACCTTCTGGGTTGCTGTTTGGGTCAAAAACAACTGTTTTGTCATCAGCTGAAGGTGCTGAGGGTTTGGTGGCAAATGAACCTTTGAGCTCTTCCACACTCACAGTGAATTCCATCTCACTATTCTCTTCTGCTGACCCTGAGGTCACCATTCCCTCAATCTCCTTGCTCTCTCTTCCAGGAAGAACCAAACCTGAAGATGAAGCAAAGATGAACAAGCTATGCACAGAGCACAATCAAAACAATCCTTTCAGACAAATAAATGAACACACGCGAAGAAAAAATTTCATAAGTTAGATTTTCATAATAATAATAAAACATAGATTTCTAAGTTGATGAATTAAAGGTGTCATGAAAAAGATCCACAAGTAAAAGGCTCACCTGTCACAACAGTCATTTCCATATCTTCTTCCCCTGTAGAACTAAAATGGATTGTCTTGTCTGTCTCATGTCTGTGTGCATCTGTAGGCTCGGTTGTTTTCACTGCTGCCCTCTTTCCAGGCGAGGTGTTTACACTGAAGTTCTCGTCCATTTTACTTTGGTTTGATGCTGTTTTTTGTCCCTGTACTGAATTCAAACCTAAACTCAAACTGCCCACACATGTTGTGAATTCCATGTCTGCACCCGTTTTAGCATGACTAAAAATAGTGGTTGACTCTAACCCGACTTCCTCTGATGACACGCCCATACTGGAACTTCCGAATAAAAGTAGTGAACTCCATATCCCCCAAAGTTTTGTTATGGCTAAATATCTCTGTCCTTTCTGCTTCAGTTTCCTGTGCTTTCAAAGCAATACTGGGGCCACCAATGCAAGCTGTAAATTCCATATCTTCACCTAATTTACTTTGTGCAACAATCTTTGTCTTTTCTGCTTTTGTTTCATTTGCTGCTAATCCAAGGCCGGTACTGTTAATACAAGTTGTAAATTCCATGTCTGCTCCAGTTTTATCTTCATTGAAAATCTTGGTCTTTTCTGCATGTGCTTCATTTGCTGCTAATCCAAGACCGGTACTGTTAATACAAGTTGTAAATTCCATGTCTGCTCCAGTTTTATCTTGGTTGAAAATCTTGGTCTTTTCTGCTTGCGTTTCAGTTGCTATCAATCCAGGACTAGCATTGTTAATGCAAGTTGTAAATTCCATGTCTGCTCCAGTTTTATCTTGGTTGAAAATCTTGGTCTTTTCTGCTTGTGTTTCATTTGCTGCTAATCCAAGGCCTGTACTGTTAATACAAGTTGTAAATTCCATGTCTGCTGCAGTTTTATCTTGGTTGAAAATCTTGGTCTTTTCTGCTTGTGTTTCATTTGCTATTAATCCAGGACTGGCATTGTCAATACAAGTTGTAAATTCCATGTCTGCTCCAGTTTTATCTTGGTTGAAAATCTTGGTCTTTTCTGCTTGCACTTCCTTGCACATCAGGCCAACACCGGTGCTGCCAATACATGTTGTGAAGTCCATATACGCTTCTGTGTCAGTATGACTGAACAGATTTGTCTTATCATGTCCCTGGGCATCTTTACCTGAGAGCAATTGCTTTGTCCCCGTTACACTTGCTTTTATATCCCTACCTGCAGCCAACTGACTGAAGGTTTCAGTTTTAACTGGACCCTGAAGTCCAAGAGAAGGATCAGTCATGCAAGCAGTGAAGTCCATGTCCTCTCCAACTTCATCTTTGTCACTGAAGATCTGGGTCTTGTCTGAGTCATGTGCTTCTTCCAGCAGATGATGTCTTTTTCTTGCAGATGATGTCTTCATTGTGACTAAACCTCTTCCCTGAATCTGGCTCAAGAAGTCCTTTGAATCTATTGTTCTCAAGACTGGACTTTCCTCAATCTGTTTAAAATCAGGAAAATTGTAAGTATTTTGACAAGTGGCTGAATCCACTGCAACTGTGTTTTCCTGAGATTTCAAGGGTTCAGACTCAGCCAAAGGTCCACCTACACATGCAGTGAAGTCCATGTCCTCTCCAGGTATTTCTTGGTTGTTGAATATCTGTGTCTTGTCTTTTTCTGACTTTTTATCTACAAATGTTGTTTTGGGCCCTCCACCCAGCCCTCCTCCTTTAAGCTGGTTCAGGAAATCTCCAGAATCCACTTTTCTCACAACTGGACTTTCCTCCACCCATTCTTTACCTGAAGCTTGGATCCCACCATGACAAACAGTAAAATCCATATCCCCCATGTTGCCCGACTGGAACAGCTGGGTCTGATCTGGCTGGCTGCTGACATACTCCCTGTGTTCCAAGCCCTCACTTAATGGAGACTGGTACTTGTTCAGGGACGTGTTCAGCACAGTCTTCACATCACTTTCATTGTCAATGTCATATACGCCATGATACATCTTTTGGGGTGAAAAGGTTTTCTCTGGGACAAACAGCTTACTGGCAAGACTGTAAATGTGACAAAGTTCATATTAAGTACTTTAATACTTTAATATTTCAAAACAACATTTTTTTTTACAAAAGTGGAATTTCTTTTTAAACCAGACATTTTCACAACAATCTTCACTGTAACAAACTATCAAAACAACAAATAGTGAGATAATTTTTCTGTCAATACACAGACCATGTTTCAAGGAACTCAATGCATCAAACAAGTTACTAAAATAAAAAAGGTACCAACATAAAATATAAAACTTAAAACGACTGCAAATATGAGTATATAACTACCTTGGCTGCGACCCAGTCATCAATGTTTTCAAGAATCCAGAGGCATCTATCTTCTCTTCTGGTGACATACCCTTTTCACCAAAGTCGTCACCTATTGGCTCATGAAGAAAGCTTTCATTCTCGGCCATAATCTTCCCATAGCACTGGGTCATGTCCATAGTGATGCTCACGTGGGTGGTCTGATTGTGCAGGCCAGTGACGTGATCCAGGCTCTCGTTGGATACGTTTGGCAATGGGTGTTCGTACACTGACTGAAATGGAAAAACTTATTCATAACTAACTTATTTTTCTTCCATCACTGCAATTAATGTCAGATTATTTTTAAAAAGTTGTGAAATTTCATTGATAACTGTTCCTGCATTTTTGCAGCACCTTGGAAAACTATAGGGTGCAAGTGATTATTTTTGTGCTTGAACTTAAAAGTACCCTAAAATGCACTATTTTCTCTCTTGAACAGAGCAAAAGTTGTGGAACAGTTATCAATGAAATTTCACAACTTTTTAAGAATAATCTCTTCTTACAATCTCTTAGCTACATCATGCATGCTGACAAAAAAATATATCCAAAAGTGCACAACTTGCCTCCAATGATGTGGTGTCCAAAGGTATGTCATTCTTGATTTGGCCAGTCAACAGGAAGTCCAGACCTGTTCACAAAAATCAAACAAAATGTATCTTTAGAGAAACTTTTAGCGACTTCTACAAAACAGGTTGCTGTAAATCAATTTTATTTCCAGATGGAAATTATGTTAAACTATTTAAACGTCAATTTATAAAGAAAACCGTTTGCATGACAGGTACACTTTCTCCGATGAAATTAAAGGAAAAAAGACTTACCACTTGGAACAGCATCATTTTCATTGCTGAAATAATCGATCAGAATGATAGACTAGTGGATGTTTTAAAAGAAGCAAATTCATCACACGTTCTATATTATCTGCTACTATCACAGCACCGTACATGCTTTGCTTCTAAACTATCAACTCAAAAATTAAAATTATCAATAGGTAACACACATTTTGCATTATTTTACAAATTCCAAGATTTTGTATCAAATAAAAACTACTTGATATATATATATATATATATATATATATATATATATATATATATATATATATATATAACTCAACCTTTAATATGTCCACATCCTTATTATGATAATGGATATACATCATTAAGAAAAATTAACATCTTAAAAGCAAGTAATTTAAAATGAAACATGGCTTCACATTTAATTTTATATATAGTGTAAAACTCACCTCTGTCCTGCTTGGTCAGCATCTAAAATTTTAAAGGTGAAGGTATATATCTGATGGAATTTCTTATCATATTCTTATCAATTCAAAAATTGATCATGAATATGCAGGCAAATTACTCATTAAACGGTATTTATTTAAAAAAGGGTTCATGTTAGAATATCAAGGGCTGACTAAAGCTGACACGCGAATCTAACAGGCGTGTGTGCGTGCATGTGTTTGTGTGATGGGGGGAGGGGGCTGAAAATTGACAGCGCTGTGCAATTATCCAAAAAAAAGTTAAAAACAAAATAAAAAACAAAGTTAAAAAACCTAAAACATCACATCCTTGATCTTAGATAAAAAGTCAACCATTGTGCATTCCATTCAAAACAAATCTTGCTTATCAAAATATGACAGGTATTCTAATATTTCTACTCACAGGAATTCATTGCCTGTTAAATGTTAGTGACATACCTTGTTTTTGCAGAGCTGAAGACTGCAGGAAGGCTGTGTCCTTCACGAACTCTCTACAATTTTCAAAATGTAAAACATTAAAACATGCTCATCATTACAAAATCCAATCAATTTCTTTGCTTACTTAAACAACATGCACAGCCAATATTTTAAGAAGAAACCAAACTTTGAAATAAATATCTGGGCCTAATAACTTACTTGACTTGATATGTGTCAGCAAAGCTAACTCGTCTAGACTTGATCTTTCTTGTGTTGTCATCATCGTCACTCTGGACAGAAATAAAATTGATTCCCATAAGAAGTACAATTAAATTATTGACCATAATGTTGGACATTCAAAAACAACAAAAAAATGCATCTTTGGTTGCATGAAACCATTTATATTATGTCAAAATTTATGTTACGTACTAATATTTCTCCAGGCTGAGAAGACAATGAGACATTTTCCCAACTTAATGTATGCATATAAATAATCTATATTTAATTTTAGAAATACTTACTACTTTACAGTTACCATACCTTTTTCTGACTGTTAGGGTCGAGATCACACAAGGCCCCTCTGCTTGGAGACTTGCTAACTTTGAGAATCTATTTAGTTATAAAACAAAATGGGATTTAGAGCACATCCTTTCAAAAAGAATTACATCAAAATTTACAACCTGATGGAAAATTTGATTTCATCTTGTAATAAAACTCCCAAATAAAATGTGTAAAATTAAATTAAGACTGATATAAAAATACCAACTGTGCAGTAAAAAGTCATCTGTGATCTTGATGTTTATCAAAAATAAAAGATGCAAGTTCCCTTCTTGCAATATACTCACTGATGACCGTCTGTGTGATGACTTCCTTTTCATACCTCTAGCCTGACCACTGTAAAAGGCAAATATAACACTTGTTAGTAAATACTTCTTTTTGTGGACACACAGAGAAAATATACCATGTAAAGCAAGTCTAAGTTATTTTTCTACATGAGTTTCATCAGATTTCTGTTAGAGTCAAAGTCCATCCGTAAAATAGATTTTGTTTTTTTCAAAAACAAGAAAACATGAAACATGAATAAATGATCAGTTATAGACAAGATTTAAACTCATATTTAGTTTTATTAATATAAAACCTTAATGTTTCATTTTCTGTTCCTTGAAAGACCATCTCTTGCGTCAGTGATGTCACTGATTTCTGGAAAAAAGTTACCATAAAAAATTAAGTTATAGGAAAATACTTGACAAATAAAATTGACGATTCTTAACTTATATACAGCAAAGCCCACGGCACTTTTGCAGCATTGTGATGAGAAGAAATCTAGATGGTCAACTGCTAAATATACAAGTGCATTTTCATCAGCTGAACTTCAGTCATACTAAAATGTGCAACACAGTGCAATATATAGGCCAATACAATGCAATAAAATGGGGGGAAAAAAAAGACTCAACATAGTATAAACCAAGGAAAGGATCATTTAAAAGCAAATAGGATTATATAAAAGCCTGTACCTCTTCTGGGAGTTTTCAAACATGGTGAACCCCAAATTCATAAACAAATCATAAGAATTTGTAAAGTTCTGTCAATGATATCAATTATCTAGCAATTTATATTTCCCCTTTATATCATTCTTTTTCTTTTGAATGACCATTTCCTAGGTAAATTTGCATTCAAAGTAGTTTCTTTTAGTGTATTGCGCTGTGTTGACCTAATAGTATGAACTGCTGAACTTGAGGAAAGGTTGCAAAACTTAAAAAGTCAATAAAATGGAATCAAAAGCTCAAGCAAAGACATTACAAAATTCCTCATTCTTTTCAACCAATGAATCTTGCAAATGCTTAATTTTACAAAGTTTGTATTGTAATTTTTCTTGTGGAAGGATTCAGTTTATTATTATATTATTTGATGCACTCATTATGTGACATTTCCCAAGAGAGGTCCTGATCAAAAATCAAAACAACTATATTAGGCGTTTTTTTCTGATCTTATTTTTCAAGCCTTGATGTTTTATTGTAGCTCTAAATATGGTCATTGCATGTAAAAAAAAACATTTGATATATCTGCACAGTGGTGTGCACTGTTCTTAATGACTGAAAGTGAAACTACAGTGTGAAACAAAATGTTTGGAAAGGGTACCACAAAAACACAATATTTTGTGCCTTAAATTAGAATTAAATTACTATTTTTTCAAAAATTAACATACACACAACAAAGAAATTGGCTATCTCTTCATATATAAAAACCTACCGACAAATCTTCTTTATAAGCTCATGAAAACATTAAGTAAATGCTATACAAATTCAAACGGTTGTGTTTAAAATGGCCGCTTCGCCAATGAGTCTGCGCAGTAGCATGTTTTTGCAGTAAATAAGTTTTTATTCTGTTATTTCTCAAATTACTTTAATTTTGTTGAAATATGTAAGTTTTATATATGCTACCATAAATGTATATTGTTTATTAAATTTCAAGGAAATAATTTAGTCTTCTTTTTATCAAAATATTATATTTGGGAAATACTATTAATATCTACAGACTAGCTGTTAACAAGGTCAAGGTCTTAAATGTTGTTGCTGCAGTGTTAAAACAAAAAGTTGAAAAGGTTTTAAAGAATGCGTTGTTGTGGAAAAGTGCTGACACAGGTCAATCGTCAGTTTATCAGAGGTTCAAGGACATTTTTCACTGCTACTGTCAACAGTATGCCTATCAAGGTAAGCATGGACTGTTGAGCTGTTTCCTAAGCAGGTTTGCCTCACTTTAGCTTACGGGTTAGCTTACTAGCCTACTATTAGTAATAGTAGTAAGTGTGCCCTGTAAGCTTTGGGACATTATTATCCGACATAATCCGCCGCTCTTTTGTTATCTTAACAGTCAGTGGATACGAGGAACAGGAATAGAGACCCGTTTTATGACGCGATAGACTATATCAAGGTACAACCGTACATAAATGTAACCAAACCCAACTTGAGTATCTGCATTTGAATTTGTTGAATTCTTTTATCGACATACATTGGTTTGATAGTTAATTTTGCTAAACTCAGAATTTGAGATGTATTTGTTTGTGAATGTGTAGTAATGATGCACTTTACGAAAAGGATGCAGTTTAACAAAGGTTCATTGGTACTTTTGCATTATTCCCACCCACCCTAACAGCTTTTGACTTCCAATGTTTTTTTTTTTCTTTTTTTTTTTTTTTT